CAATTTATTTTCCAGGAGGTATTTTTTCACACGGGGGCCAAACACATCATTGACCCACTCTTTGAAAATGTGCCTTGTGACCCATGCTTTCCACATCACACACAATCTATTCTTGATGATATTGTTTTTCTTGAACACACTGGGATTTTCAGAGTGATACACCAGTAAAGGCTTCACTTTGAAATTCCTACTAGCATTAGCACAGAACAAAAGAGTAAGCCTGTCTTTCATAGGCTTGTTCCTGTCAGTGCTTTTTCCTCCTTTGTAATGTAGGTCCTCTTCGGCATTTTCTTCCAAAAGAAGCCTATTTCATCACAATTAAACATTTGTTGGGGGAGGAATTCTTCAGCATCTTCGCACCCCTTGAATTCCTGCACAAAATTTTCAGCCGCACATTTGTCAAAACTTGCAGCCTCCCCATGCCATACTACACTGTGTATTCCACTAAGCTTCTTAAATCTTTCAAACCAGCCTTTGCTGGCCCTAAATTCACTAACAGCAGCACTTGTTCCAGGCATTTTCCTTACAAGATTCGCATGAAACTGCCTTACCATCTGACAAATCATCGACTCCGCAACACTATCTCCCACTCACTTTCTTTACCAAAGGAACTTTACTAGGAACTTTCTTTGGGGACATGGTTACTTATTTCCCAGTTACACTTAATTGTTAACCAAGGAAAACAATGAATTATAGCGAAATGTTTGGATGAATGAGCAGAAGCTTCCTCTCTCGCCCAGAGACAAAGCCAGGCTGACTCGCTGGTGGCGGCGGGTTGACATGTATCATACGACCGATAAGCGAAATAATGGCCGATAACCGGAAACCAAAAAACCGGCTAATAAGTGAGTTGGCTGATAACCGAGGGTTCACTGTATATAAATACATGTAATTAGTGATCCAAAGCTAATATATACACAAAAATTTTAATTAGTGTAGAATGGTGCCGTTCCGATGTTCTGGGCACATAACATTGAATGATTCTGGAACTCAAAGCCATTGTCAATGAAGGGAGGGGGGTCACAGCTGGTCTTGACTAGACAATCGATGGTGTCTAAAAAACAGATATATTCTGCCGAGGAGAGGTTGACTGAGCCACTGATCACCACAGTGTTGAAGTACAGTGGACCCTTGGTTTTCATGAGTCTCAATTTTCATGAATTTTGGTTATCTGCAACTTTTTTCGTCAAAATACAGTGGAGCCCCAACTTATGAACAGCTCCCAACTCGAACAATTTTGTAAGTGTATTTTTGTAAGTGCTTTTGTAAGTGTATTTTTGGGGGTCTGAAACGGACTAATCTAATTTACATTATTCCTTATGGGAGCAAATTCGTTTGGTAACGGCACTCGAACAGCCTTCTGGAACGAATTAAGTTCGTAAGTCGGGGGTCCACTGTATAGCCTTGGTTTTTGTGATTTCCCTTGGATTTTGGTGGCCATACGATAATTGTCCCAGTGGCCCCGTGCACACAAAACTGTGGTTCCACAGATGCATTCAAGAGTCAGTCTGGCATTGTTTCTCGGTGAATGAGCATCACCGCCCTGCGTTCATATGAAACATTTCGTAATAATCCATCGTTTTTTGTGCTTGCAACTGCTAAATAGGCCACCATGGGCTCAAAGAAATCTCCTAGTGTGTTCAAGAGAAGGATTTTGAAGGGTTTGGGGCTGACCCTGTCAACCCTACGCCTGTTGTGGAATGTATTGTGGCATTGGGGAATTCCATGGGGTTGGATGTGAGTGGTGAGGATGTGGAAGAGTTGGTGGAGGACCACAGTGAAGAGCTAACCACTGAAGAGCTGCAAGAGCTTCATCTGCAACAGCAACAGACCATAGCTAAGGAAATTGCTTCACAGGAGGAGGAAGAGAGAGGGAAGAAGGTGCCTTCTTCAAAGATTAAGGACATTTGTGCAAAGTGGAGTGAAGTGGAGAAACATCACCCTAACAAAACTGTTGGAGGCCGTGTCTGTGACATGTTCAATGACAGTGCCTTGTCCCATTTTAGGCAAATCCTAGAGATGCTAGAAACAGAGCTCTCTGGAACAATTTTTTGAGCGACAGCGGTTCAGTGACTCTCAAGTTGGTCCTAGTGCCATTAAAAAAAAAAAAAAAAGATAAGTAACCTCGGATAAAGACTCTGTACCTAAAGTCTTTATGGAAGGGGATTCCCCTTCCAAACAATAGTAACTTCTCCCTCTCCCCTCTTCCCGTCTTCCATGCACCAACAAAAGTCTTCAATAAAGATAAGTGTGATGTTATTATTGTGTTATGTTGATTTGTCATTCTTTTGTGTATGTAAATCTATATATAATCTCTAAAAAATTATTTTTTGTTAATACTTTTGGATGTCTGGAATGGATCAATTGGATTTACATTATTTCTTATGGGGAAACTGGTTTCTATTTTCGTGAATTTTGTTTTTTCGCAGACTCTCTGGAATGGATTAATCACAAAAACCAAGGGTCCACTGTAGTTAATTAGCCAGTCCTAAACTACCATGAATGCTGGTGTCGTTACAACTGGGAGAAGGCTGGTTGAATGGTGTGTAGTGGACTGGTTGGGCGGCTACGTGTGAAAAAGGGTGGCGGGGGGACCAGTGTAGGTAGAGAGCTGCAGTTGAAGGCTCTGAATCTTGGCAAGATTCCTGCTGTCCTTTCCTTACCTCGCATATGTCAGATGACCCGAGCCGACAGGCAAGGCTACAGTGGAGAAAAGAAAAAAGTACAGTTACACACCGCTTGATAAATCACTCGCACGATAGGCGTACAACCTTTAAAAGAAGTGGTGTGGATTGACAAATGACATAGCTCTAAATTCAAAGCAGGGCAGGAATAAACTTAAGTCTAAAACCCTAAATAAGAGTGAAACTCTTATTAAGACTAACAAACCCAAAACAGAATAAATTAGACAGGAGGAGAACGATTACTTACAGATTTGATGGAAGCAGCCAGTCGAGTGATTCACCACAGGTCGGAAACACTCGCGTCACCTCCCACCAGGTGTATAAAGGGGGGAGGGGATAGCAGGAGCTAGGCACCCACCCTACCTGAACAAGGAGACTGCTCCACAAACTACCACCACCATACATTCATACTTTCACTACTCCTATCTAATGAACTTTTCCCTCATACTAAGGGTAATCAAAATTGTGATGTCAGCACACATTTGGCAAAAGATGGCCATGGAGGTAAAAAATTTTTTTAGTGCTCTCATAGTTTAAGCTTCTGATGATTAAAAAGAAATATAATTTTGTCAGCCAAGTCTCATTCATTTTGTTCCAACACTCTTGATAAAGGAGGTGCTCGTTAACTCTTTCAGGGTCCAGACCCCCAATCTGAAACTTGCCCACAGGGTCCAAGAATTTAAAAAAAATAAAATTGTTATTTTTTTTCCTCATGAAATGGTAGAGAATCTTTTTCCGAAGGTAATAAAACAAAAAGTACAAAATTTGATGGAAAATTGATGAAATTACACTCGCGAATTTTGCTGCGTCGGCAATTTTACCTACTTTGACTCCCATTTTTGGCCAGTTACATTATTCCAATTGACCAAATTCTTATCTATTTTGCTAGTATTGCTTCCATTTTATTGACTAAGCATAAAAAATCTCCCAGTCAACTGCTTCAACTACCCAGTAAAGTGATCAGAAATTGGCATTTTAACCAAATTCACACAAAGTTCAAAATATTCTGATTTCAAAATAGGGTCCAGAATAAATAATGCAGGCATTCCTGGCACTAAAATAACATTTCCTCTGTTTATTAGTTATGTTTCCACAACATTTAGGAACTCATCATGCCTATATCAAATGAACATGTACCAAAGAAGACCTTGGCTCCCAGCAGTATTGTGAGAAGGCAGACTTATATAATTCTTCTATACATATCTAAATTGTCTGTATGACTTGAATTTTGGATGATTTATGCATGAGGGGGTGATTATGTCATGTTTAGTGGAAGAGAAACTATCACTATTCTTTGGCCAAATTGAATTAGACTTGGGGAAATAATGTCTCCACCACTTGCAAAATCTTACTGATGTCTTTAAAATATGACTACCTATTTTTTTTTTTTTTTAGCATGCTGATTGTCTCCTACTGAGGCAGGGTGGCCCAAAAAAGAAAGACTCTCACCATCATTCAACACTTTCACCATCATTCACATATAATCACTGTCTTTACAGATGTGCACAGTTGTGACAGTTCAGATGTCACTCCAAACAGCAAATATCCCAATCCTCTCCTTTAAAGTGCAGGAATTGTACTTCCCACCTCTAGGACTCAAGTCTGGCTAACTGGCAGAAAACTTGCCCATACATCTCACTTATTCACTCCATATTATCAATCACCGATATATTCAACAATTGTAGAAGTACAGCTAGAGCAGTTATATCATTGTTAAAGGCACAGAAATGTGTAATTACACTAATTATCATAATAAAAGATGTATGTAATTTTCTCCTACTGAACTCATGTGCAATTCTTGATCTTAGTGCATCGAATATTATCTTCAGACTTTTCATACAAGTGTTGTATATAAATTAAGTGTTCATAAGTTATATATATTTTTGCTAATATTATTTATGTAAGAAAATGCTATATATCTGAAGGTTTTCTGTATGACACTTCCAGGGGTCAATGCCCCTGTGTACCGGTCACAGACCATGCCTCCTAAAGTGGATACGACTTGTGCTTGTTTAGCAAGACTAGTGGTTTACTGGGGGCTGGAAAGGGGGGGATGAAGCCCCTCTAGTGGCTCAGAAAGCAAATCGTGGAAATCTGTTAAGGGCATTACCCAGATTTTATACACTTTATCAATTGCATTTACTCAGAATTGCACTGTGATATTACTTGATAAGAAGGTTTGCTGTATTTTATTTGGTGAGTCAGATAATGTTAAAAGTTTTAAGATTTTATTAATTGCTATTTTATGATTAATATGCTCTGTCCCTAAGGTGAGTGCCATTAAACTAATAATTTTTCCTTTATTTTTGCCAACAGGAGTAGAATTGTGCAAGTTCTTAATGCACCATTTTTCTCGTGTGTTTGGATTTATCTTCGGATCTTCAGCGAACAATCTGGGTTTCAAGGGATGTGATGTTGATTTGTATGTTGACATTGGGATAAATCCCTGGGCATCATGTTACTCTAAAGGCAAGTGCACTACTTCATTTAAAACAAAAATCAAATAGGCATTGGCTTTTATATCTGTGGTAACAAAAATTATACCTATTCAGGATTCATATTCATATTTATTTAGGTGTGGACTTAAAAATTTACCTTCCTATTGACTTATTTGCTAGGTTAATTAAGCTGTCCTTGACTTTCTGCAGTTACCAAGTGTTCCTCCCTCACCTACTTAGCTAGGTTAAGCTGTCCTTTACTTTTTTGCACTTACCAAGTATCCCTCACCTACATAGCTAGATTAAGCTGGCTTTGACTATTTGCACTTACTAAGTGTCCCTAACCAACATAGCTAGGTTAAACTGGCCTGAGTTTCTGATAGTGCTGATAGTGCTGCTGATAGTGCTGTCCTGGGAGACAGTAATGGTGAAGCTGGAGGTGCTGTCCTGGGAGACACTAATGGTGAAGCTAGAGATTTTGTCCAGGTAGTCGGGAATTATACGCAGGAAGGAATACATATAAATGACCTCATAGGGGACAGGAGCCGTAGTGGGGAAACAAGTGTAGTCAAAGATAAGATAAAACCAATATTGCAAACTAGAAATACCACAGGAAATAGCAAACAAGAGGACTCCACTAGCTATAGTGAGGATATATTACCAAAAACAACTGGTGGGAGCTCCATTGTTGGTGCTAGGGAGGATAGGAATAAGACAGGGAAAACATGCACCAACAGGAATACAGTCACAGAAAAACCCCAAAGGCAAACGGAAACCAAGCCTGTGCACATACTATGCACTTGGTATCTGCAGACATGGGAAATCTGGAAAAAAAAGACGGGACGTGCAACTATGACCACCCCAGAAAATGCCATGCCCATATGACAACAGGAAAATGCAAACTCCTTCCTGTAACTTTTTCACCCTGAAATGTGTACCTCTTCAGTACAGGAAAGACTGTGCTATAACTTAAATTGGCCGGCACACCATCTAAAGGGTACAAAAAGATACAAAACATCCAGGCCATGGGAAAACCTGGGTAGCCACAGCCACTCAAGAGGGAGAGGTTTTTTAGTGCCAGGAAGGAAAAAAACTGGCAGGAAATGGCAGAAATCGTACAACAAATCCAGTCATTCCTGGAGTGGAACCACAGTCGATGGCCTCCACTCCAAACCAACAGATACAGATACTAATGCCGGAAAAAAAATCCCCCCCCAGTACCAACAATACCACCAGTCCGATGACATTCTTCTTTGCAAATATACAGGGTCTAAAGCCAGCAACAAACAACAAAATACCTTTCATCCGTGGACTGCTTGCAGAGGCAAAGGCAATGTTCGCGGCTTTCACAGAGACCCACATAAAGGATCACTTAGACAATGAAATATGGATCCCAGGTTACAACCTATACAGATGTGACAGAGTGAACAGGCAAAAGGGGGGGGGGGGGTGTTGGCCTGTACATTGCAGAGTCACTTGTGTGCACAGAACTGCTTAATGCCTCAAATGATGTAGTGGAAGTTTTAGCAGTAAAGGTCGAGAAACCAAAACCTAGTCATTGTGGTAGTCTACAAGCCTCCAGATGCAACATCCAGCAATTCCAGGAACAGCTGTTAAAAATTGACCACTGTCTGGAAAATCTTCCAGCTCCTGCACCCAACATCTTGCTCCTGGGGGATTTCAACTTAAGGCACCTAAAATGGAGGAATATAGCAAATAATATTGTTGCAGTAATAACACCAGGAGGCAGCTCTGATGAAAATTCACACTCACACGAGCTTTTAAATCTCTGCACAAAATTCAATTTAAACCAGCAAATAATAGAGCCTACTAGACTGGAGAATACACTAGACCTCATCTTCACTAACAATGATGATCTGATAAGAAATGTCACCATATCAAAAACAATATACTCAGATCACAACATATTGAGGTTCAGACATGTATGCGTGGAGCCCCAGACCAACATAATGAGGACTAGTCACGAGGGAGCATTCACCAAATTCAACTTCAATAACAAAAACATAAAGTGGGCCAAGTAACCAAGTCCTAACCGATATAAGCTGGGAAGATATACTAAGCAACACAGACCCCAACGTATGCCTAGAACAGATTAACTTGGTAGCACGATGTATGCACAAGGCTTATTCCTCTAAGAAAAAGGAGGAGTAGATGTAAAATAGAAAGAGACAGGTGCTCCCTTTACAGGCGACGGAAAAGAATAACAGAGCGGCTAAAAGAGGTCAATATATCTGAAATGTGTAGGGAGACACTGGTCAGAGAAATAGCAAGCATCGAACTCAAGCTAAAGGAATCTTATAGGAGTCAGGAATCGCGGGAAGAACTAAAAGCCATAAATGAAATCGAAAGAAACCCAAAGTATTTCTTCTCCTATGCCAAATCAAAGTCGAGAACAACATCCAGTATTGGGCCCCTACTTAAACAAGATGGGTCCTACACAGATGACAGCAAGAAAATGAGTGAGCTACTCAAGTCCCAATATGACTCAGTTTTTAGCAAGCCGCTAACCAGACTGAGAGTCGAAGATCAAAATGAATTTTTTATGAGAGAGCCACAAAATTTGGTTAACACAAGCCTATCCGATGTTTCCTGACGCCAAATGACTTCGAACAGGCGATAAATGACATGCCGATGCACTCTGCCCCAGGGCCAGATCATGGAACTCCGTGTTCATCAAGAACTGCAAGAAGCCCCTATCACGAGCCTTTCCATTCTATGAGAGGGAGCATGGACACGGGGGTCGTCCCACAGTTACTAAAACAAAGACATAGCCCCACTCCACAAAGGGGACAGTAAAGCAACAGCAAAGAACTACAGACCGATAGCACTAACATCCCATATCATAAAAATCTTTGAAAGGGTCCTAAGAAGCAAGATCACCACCATCTAGAAACCCATCAGTTACACAACCCAGGGCAACATGGTTTAGAACAGGTCGCTCTGTCTGTCTCAACTATTGGATCATACGACAAGGTCCTAAATGCACTAGAAGATAAAAAGAATGCAGATGTAATATATACAGACTTTGCAAAAGCCTTCGACAAGTGTGACCATGGCGTAATAGCACACAAAATGCGTGCTAAAGGGATAACAGGAAAAGTCAGTCGATGAATCTATAATTTCCTCACTAACAGAACACAGAGTAAAGTCCGAGGCAGCTACGGTGAAAAGCTCTGTTCCACAAGGCACAGTACTCGCTCCCATCTTGTTCCTCATCCTCATACCCGACTAGGACAAGGATGTCAGCCACAGCACCGTGTCTTCCTTTGCAGATGACACCCGAATCTGCATGACAGTGTCTTCCATTGCAGACACTGCAAGGCTCCAGGCGGACATCAACCGAATCTTTCAGTGGGCTACAGAAAACAATATGAAGTTCAAGGATGAGAAATTTCAATTACTCGGATATGGTAAACACAAAGGGAAATTAAATCTTCATCAGAGTACAAAACAAATTCTGGCCACAAAATAGAACAAAACACCAACGTCAAAGACCTGGGAGTGATCATGTCGGAGGATCTCACCTCTTTAACCATAACATTGTATCAATCGCATCTGCTAGAAAAATGACAGGATGGATAATGAGAACCTTCAAAACTAGGGATGCCAAGCCCCTGATGACACTCTTCAGGTCACTTGTTCTATCTAGGCTGGAATATTGCTGCACACTAACAGCACCTTTCAAGGCAGGTGAAATTGCTGACCTAGAAAATGTACAGAGAACCTTCACGGCGCGCATAAATGAGATAAAAACACCTCAATTACTGGGAAAGCGCTTGAGGTTCCTGAACCTGTATTCCCTGGAACGCAGGCGGGAGAGATACATGATTATATACACCTGGAAAATCCTAGAGGGACTAGTACCGAACTTGCACACGAAAATCACTCACTACGAAAGCAAAAGACTTGGCAGACGATGCAACATCCCCGCAATGAAAAGCAGGGGTGTCACTAGCACATTAAGAGACCATACAATAAGTGTCAGGGGCCCGAGACTGTTCAACTGCCTCCCAGCATACATAAGGGGGATTACAAACAGACCCCTGGCAGTCTTCAAGCTGGCACTGGACAAGCACCTAAAGTCGGTTCCTGACCAGCCGGGCTGTGGCTCGTACGTTGGTTTGCGTGCAGCCAGCAGCAACATCGTAGTTGATCAGGCTCTGATCCACCAGGAGGCTTGGTCACAGACCGGGCCGCGGGGGCGTTGACCCCCGGAACCCTCTCCAGGTAAACTCCAGGTAAACTTGCTAATTGTCCTCTCACCATCGATAAAGTTATTGTGTTTTTGGAGAGGACTTTTGGGTTATTATTCCAAAGGTTTGATAACCAAAGAAATCCAAGAGTTCAATAAGCCAAGAAACTCAAAGGTTTAGTAACCCAAGAAACCCAAGAGGCTAACCATAGCTCTCCAGCACTGAAACAATGTAGGGATTTGGATGTGCTTCCACTGTGTTATAGATTGACCAATTCTAAGGCCTTATTTACTCATACAACTTTTATGCCATAATTTGTGTGATTTATTTTTGTAAATTTTTTAAATTGAGCCCAAACGGTCATCATTTCTACTTAGGAGTGATTGTGAACAATTGGGAAGCACCTTCTCTCAAGTCTAGAACTAGTGCTTCACATCTCAGTACCTCACTTTCCTTGGAAACAAAGTAGGGTGCTCTCATTTGTTATTGATGAAGAGTTCCTTTGTTGGCTTTACCCTACAGAATACAGATCCTGCATTGTGACTGGCTTCAGAGTAGTAGCAAAATCAGCGAAATAAAAGAGTCCATTAACCTTTTTGTTGTTTTTACTAAATCTTTTTAAAATTGAGCCCACGGTCACTTTCATTGGGATCCATTTTAACAGGAGCACAGTAGATACTAGTGGCACCCAGATACGATACCTCCGTTGCGAGCAATATGTAAGTGTATTTTATGTAAGTCGTTTGTTGTGTTTGGGGTCTGAAAGAATATCATACTTCTCAATATGCCTTATGGGAATAAATTAAGGTCAGTACTG